GTCACGTATTCTGTGGCTGCCAGGACGTACACCTTGCCCCGAGTGGATATCGGGTAGGGCCCTTGCAAGTCCAGTGCTCAACGTGCGCCTACGTCGCCAACCGCCAACGAAGGTAGCGGTGGCACCACCCACGGCTGTTTGGGTTTGCGCGACCCACAGTCTTTGCAGGCAGAAGTTCATACCCGTGTGGCGCGGGCCATACCCGGCCACCAAAAACGGCGCCGCAGCCGCTCAAGAGTGTGTGCATAGCCGAGATGACCGGACAATGCATAATCATGGGCTTCTCGTAGTGCTGCATGCCAGAGGGTAGGTGGCAACAGCATACGAGGCCCCACGGCAGGGATAGCGACCTGGCATACCCCTCAGTGAAGGGTGGTGGTGCGATCGTTGACCGTCGCGCCCGGTACCACCCATCTCCTCAATTGAGGGCTGGTTTCTTGGGCCACCCGGATGTGACTCAAGGACAGCCCGACGGTGTCGACTGTAATGGCCAGCGGCTTGGCGTGCGTCGACCGAGGGTGGGTCGACCGTGGTGACCTAAGGTGATGGGGGATCCGTCGGTACTAAGGCGGGCCACTGGCGGGATGTCAAGCTGCAGTCCCGACAGGGTGAGGGCATCATCGGTGGCGGTATCCCGCCCGCCCCCTCCCGAGAAGGCCAGCTCTGTGCGCGTGCCTCCGCGCCGATCATGCGCTCTACGGCTGTCTCCATGGAAGTGTGCCTTGTGGTGGACAATTGTGTTCCAGGCGTGTCCACACCGCCGTGACGCCGTCCGACGCGGTAGCGCCATCTGTCGATGCGTGTCCGCCCGTGTGCGTGCCGCCAAGTCGACGATATTTGCTGGTTGCCGAGACAAGGCATTCGGCTACTACGTATTCCTTGCCGGGCCGAGGTCAAGGTCGTAGTCCGCGAGTTGAAGAGCCCATCGGTGAAGTCGCGGTGCGGGGTGCGTTTGGAGAGGAGCTAGGTCAACGCTTTGTGGTCTGTGACCACCTGGATCTTGAAGACCGCCAGGCATTCTAACTCCGTAATCCAGTATTTCGCCTGCGTGGGCGAGTTGACGTGGCTGATAAATGCCACCTGGCGCATACCCTCTCCGTCGTCCTGCATCAACGCTGCTCCTAACCCCACCAATCTGGAATCACACATGACGGTGAAGGGCAGCGTGAAGTCGGGGAACCGCAGCACCGGTTGGGCACAAAGTTCGTGCTTGAGGCATGCAAACGCGTTTTGTTGCGACTGCTCCCATCGAAATGGTTCCGTTTTTCGTGTGAGAATTGTCAGTCCACCGTGGTAAATCTTTTCGCACCCCCGAGCTGTTCCAAGGTATCGTCAATGCGGGGTAAGGGATACACGTCCCGGACACTCACAGCGTTGAGGCGCCGGTAGTCAATACAAAAACGAGCCGACCCATCCTTCTTTTTGACGATCACTACCGGGAAACCCCAAGCGCCACTGGCCGGTTCGATGAGGTCTTTGCGGAGGAGATCCACGATCTCGGTCCGGATGATGGCATCCTGGGGCGGCGACAAGCCCATCCGTCGTTCTTATTATGTGGGATGCGCCGTGCTGGTATTGATGGCATGTTCCAACCCCATGACCGCCGCGGGTAGGATAAAGGGATCGGCTTGTGTCAGTTCGGGGAATCGACGCAGCACCCGTAGCATTTGTTGGCGCTGATCGGTGTCTAAATGATCGAGCCGTATGGCCTCTTCGGCCGGAAGTGGAG